AAGAGGTATGTGAATAATATAGTGCCATCTAAAGGCCAGTAGCAAAACACAAAAATAAATTCCACTTAGTTAGTGTCTGGTCCAGCTACTGTCATAGATGGCGCTAGTGTCTTCAATATCTATTCAATACCACTCTAATGCATACTTCTATTAGGTATCTTCAGGTGGAATACGCTAATCAATTTTGAAGATACAAAATCAAAATAGGCATTAGAGAGGCAAAAAAGATCCTAGCGTCATTTGTAAAACGGTAGCAGAACCGAACACTTTAACCCTGTTGAATGTAGATTTCTAAATTGATGTTTGTGTTCTGCTACGCCATCATAGATGGCGCTAATATCTTTCAAACCCCTGTTTGGATGCTTCCATGGGTATCTCAGATAGAACACGTCAATCAATGGTCATCGAAAAAGATTTTGAAGGTTTCTTTCAAAAACTGTGTTGCCTATCTGCAATATGGATGAAAGGTCGTTGTCTGGGCAAATCGGGTGCGTATATTCGGAATTTGATGTTTCGGCGCATTGGCGATCCCATATACCATATTTCATGAGAATCCATCACGCTTTGACGTCTACTGAGGTGAACAGCTGATCTGAAAGTGACATATTTGTGTTAATCTGCGACTGCGACGTTGGCAATAATGAATCGGGTGTAAACCTAGTAAAACATGTTTGTAGCGTTTTTTTTTGTGTATGCAAATGAACTTTTATAAATAAAAGAGCCGTTAGCAAGTACAAAATGAATCTGTAGCGTACAAAAAACCAAAACAAAATACGGCACTGACTACCTGTTGACGGATCCATCAGAATTATGTGTCCTGTGCCGATATGGGGAATTTTGAGATATTACTAGACAATCAGCTGTCATTTTACCGTGATGGATACTCGTGAAATAGGGTATATGTCGATTTTTTTGCCTAAAATTTGGAATACTCACCTCTGCCAGCCGACTAGCATATATTTCCAGACGACTATGCATATCGTTATGCTGTGGTGACGCTACAGGGCTTTCGAGTTCATCACCCTCACAGTATCTGACAGGTAAGTAGCCCACACGTGGATGTTTCATAAAGTATCTGAAAGAAAACAATGTTTTATTTTTTCACTACTAACATTCTTTAGGTCATTCCTCTCCCCCTAAGTAAAACATGATAATGAGGAAATTCCTAAGCAATTAACGGATGAATAAATGTATGTAGAGCTTCTTTGTCTTAATGAACAGAACTGTCACTGTTTGTTTGTTTAAGATTAATAAATATAAATATAGCATGACTGCTACAATTACATTCTTTTAAAACACTACAACAATTACATAACATACAAAGTTTGACAAACAACATGAAATGTTCCTTTAATTTTCTTTTAAACATCTTTAAATTACAAGTAGACTTATATCTGATTATTATTTTATCAAATTCAAGGGATCCCTTCTGAAATGTGTAATTATGTAAAATTGTATAGTTGTGGTAATGATTATTAAATTCTACGTAATGATTTAAATTTGTCAAAAGATGATTTTTATTTTAAATATGAAAATATTATATATATATATATATATATATATATATATATTTATATTCAACCACTGCAATTCTTATAACATTGATTTTATTTTGGTACATTTATTTTTATTCAATATTACTCTCGTAGCTTCATTTTGTAGGACTTGTAATTTTGAGAATACAGCTGCATTGGCATTGGACAAGATAATTGAACTATATAGTAAATGCGGTAGAATAATTGCATCATACACTATTTTTCTGGAATATGTACAGAGTCTACGAGAAGCCCTACAAAAGTAATTTGTTTTTTTTTGCAATTTTTGAAATAATGTATTCATAGTGATCCTCCAACTTGTAGTTTTACTATCAATATATATATATATATATACAGGGTGACTTTGAAGTTGAGTCATAAATTTTCAGATAATGATTGTAGAAGGAAGATACACCAAAATATGTGTGTAAAAATAAAAAAAAAAAAAAAAAAATGTTTACCTTGTTTCATAAAGTATCCTCCCGACAAGTATTTCAGTGCGGACCTGTATTTGATCGTGAGGTCCCCTGTGAGGTCTTAAGTCACCTGATTCACGAGCCCGTTGTACTACATTAACAAAGGCACGAGGGGTTGGTTGCACTCGATTGGGAAACCGATCCGCATAAACATGTGCCATTTTTTATTTCGTTTGAGCCACGCAACATACACCACTATTCACACGCGTTACCGACTGACACTGACTGTATGTATACAATTGAATAAAATAATTGTAAAAACATCGTTCCAAATTCTTTCGCTTTTTTGTTTCCGATGCGATGAACCGATAAGGCGGATTATATCCGTTGTCGCCAAACACGAGCACATGATATTATTATTGAGACAGGGCGGTACTCAAACTTCAAAAGGGCTATAACTTTGTTACTTTAATTTTACCAGAAAAATGGTAAAGGAAAAAAACATTTCTTTTGATCAGATCTGCTCACTGTTAAAATAAATGACTCATCTTCGAAGTCACCCTGTATATATTATATATATATATAAACAAATATTTAATTGAAAATATTAATAATAAATAAATAATTATTTCACCATGTATGCTAACCGTGATAGAATTTTCCTGTAAGTGTTCCCCTATTCGCATACACTTTTTTAGAAGCATTCAATTTTAGTTTATCTACATCCTTACCTTGGACACGCTGAATATGTAGTGAAAATGCTTGTATAAATACCCACATCAGAAAAACTATTGATCTCGCCTAAGTATATGAGAGCCCTCGACCAACAATGGCTTACCTCTCTACCTAGGTATAGTGTACTATTTTCTGAAAATTGTAAATTAAAATCAGGTTAGTTACTACAATATAGCATACCTTTTACTCTTAAACTTATTCTTCAACGCCTTAGTGAAATCCCTAACATCTTCGACAGAAGTGGTTGCTGCACAGTATTCATGCATCGGATGACTTAACTTGTGGCCTTTTGTGAGCTTTCCCGAGAAGAAACACGTTTGACACATGTCAAAGTTGAAGCACTTTAAACATCTATAGCGCAGCCCAATAACTGGGAATTGCTTGCAAGCGTTGCATTTTGCTTGATGGCGAGCGTTTTCTGCGGCGGCAATGCGATGAAGGACTGGTAGCCATACTAGGGACTGGAAACAATAATTAGAGATTTGATATTCGTCGTAGCATTGAGTACTATATTTATTCAGAAGATGTTCAATAGAATTGAAAGCTGTGATTGCCTGAAAATGAATATGCATACCAAGGCGCTGCCAACCACTTATGCTCACAGCCATACATTGTGTTCAATTGACAACAGTGCCTGGGCGAAATAACCATACGTGACGACCACCGTTTTTATGTGTCAGCGTTGCCACCTCTTGGATTATTGCCGCAGGGCATGAGATTTTCGTTTTCATTTTTGATGCAAACTAAGAATACGAAGTCTTAGGCATAATTACGAGAAAGTTTGAACGGTGATTTTGGAAGAGTGTTTATGAATAGACAATTTTCTTCAAATAAAGTCTGTTCTTATCACTTCTAAGAATAAATGAGTTCCTATTTAGCAACATATGGCTGTGTCGACCGACGGATGCGATTTGTTTTGAACTAGACTTACGTAGTCAGTAGTCAGATCAGGCAAGTCGATCAGTCGCTAGTTTGACAGTCGTTGTCACTTCGCATTTTTCTTAAAACATAAAAGTAGGTGAGTTTCCTTACAGTTCTAGTGTTCCATGCATTTCGACAAAAGGGTGAATGTTTCTGTGAACGGCAAAAAGCAGTGTAAGCTGAATAAAATTAGCTTTTTTATCAGTAAATGTTCATATAGAATCGTCATTGGCGTTGTTAAAGGGCAGAGCATGGGCAGTCTGCAAAACCAAAAGGTCGCCAGTTTTGGTCTGAACAAACAAGGTTGTAATGGCTTTAAAATAAACTAATCTCAAAATACTCTTCAAGGTCTTAGGTTTTAACTTTAACTCAGATACTTGGCGACCTATTATATTTTTTACCGGGTTTTTAAGAAAGAAGGAGCTAGTCTATGATTTGTTTGTCTCCAAAACCTGTATGTAGTCATGATGAAACTTCATACTACAAGTCGATCAGGCTTAAACCTCCAGTTTGACAGTTGTTGACATTTCTCATTTAACTCGTACTTTTCTGCGAAATATATAAAAAGGGTGGGTTGATATTCCACACAATTTTTGAATATGCTGTATGTTTCTGTGCAAAAACCTCTTTAAAAAGAATTATGGGGTTGAGTAGTAGAGTAGCCATGCGGCTAAACTTCACCTCAATTTCGGATATACTAAAAAAGATATTTATAATTATTGTCATTATTATTATTAATTTTGATTTATTCCAGTTCACTCGTTTTCTTGAGTGGTCAGTCCAAATCTAAGGTTGTTAACAACATTGGAAAATGAAAAGTATTGGGGACAAACCAAATTTTTGATGAAAACTGGCAAGATTCAATAGAAAATTCAACTTTGAGACATATAATTTAATTTTGAATCTAAAAGTTATTAGCGAAGTTAGTTAAAAGTACGATCTCATATGAAGGAAGCTCAAAAAACCATGAAGATCGAATTAATATACAAATATACATACAAATGCTTTTATTGGATAAATATAGTGACAATGATATAATGCAGGAATTTCCATATTATGCTAAAATAGATAATTGTTGTTGTTTGATGGAGAGAATGTTTCGTATTGTTCACCCGTCAAAATCATGAATTAAGCAAAATTGTTCATATGCTGTGCCGTTAATAAATATTTATTAACAATAACTGAGCGATTTTCATCGACACACAGATAGTATTTCTGCCCTATATGAGTATATCCGTACAAATAACTACTTGAATATCCTTTCCAGAGAAAATATACGCGGATGTATTGATTTGTCAGTTTGGTAGGCAAGTTAGCCAAGGGTATGCACCAAAACTACAGAATTTTGTCGATGAACATTGCCATGTAACTACACATATAGGCTTGGATCCTTCTAATCTATTCGATTTCCTTGGTGATGACGGACACTGTATGTGAATTTGTTCAATGACAATAACAGCTTACCTGAGGTTCCTGTTTCAACCAAGCAAGAAAATGAGCCGCCTCCAAATTTTCGCTTTCTCCCAAACAAACTCCTGACGCTAGGCTCAATGTTACTTCCACCAAACGCAGCGACTTCTCCCAGTTGTTTAGGTATCTGTTTTGTACAAAAATGCTTAGGAAATAAATCAAAGGGAATACAAATACGACAACTCGATTGCTAGCAATTTTACAGCCGTAAATTATTCGAAATTGTCATTTTACCTGTAGAACATCGTGTAAGAGTAGTCCTAGCTTACGTTGATCAGCTTTTTGGTCAGGATCAGCTATGAGACGAAACAGGTAGCGATACTTTTCTTCTAAGTGCGCTTTTGATAAGATTGTCAAACCCACCTAAAAAATCAAAAATTTCAAAGTTGCCTGGTAATATGACTAGAAAAGATTGTAGCTTGAATTGTTGATTTTTGGTCACCGCGTGATATCGCTTGTTTCAGGGGGGCGCGCGGCCCAAAGCATGAAATTAATTTCAAAAAAGGTATTGAGGAATAGTGTGTTTATATATAAAAAAGTGAGTTAATTTTCTGAGAAATTGAAAATCATAATGCCAAATTTAAACGAATAATATAAATAAGAATGTGTGAAAAACGAGAATAACTCTTATAAGGTCTTTGTTCCTGTTTTATTGACGTAAGAAAAAATAATTATTTATTGTGCTAGGCTTGTAAAAAGTACCACTGTTAATGCAGTTCATATTGAAATCCCGACTCAAATTACGCAAGGAAAAAATGAAGATGGTTAAGGGTAAACTCGTACTTTCTGTCTCTCCAAAAATACTCTGCATTGCCAAACTATCTAAGTAACACTTTATTAGTTATCTAATTGCGCAACTTTGCTTTCATAAACGACTTTGTATTGTATTGCTTACCGTTTACGAATTTGAAATCCCTAGTGCATATATGTTATATAGAGTTCTTCAAGTGAAGTTGAATTAAAATTCAACGTAGATTTCAATTAACCCTAGTAATTTCTCATGTAATACATATTGGCTCAGCTTGTGCAGAACCCTGTACATGAACAACTTTATCATAGTTAATTTTTCAAACGTTCATAAACTAAAATATGTAACTAGTGAGACAAGTGAATGTTTTCAATGAAAAGTGGTAAAAGTAAGATGGACCGGGAAAAGTGCGTCGCCAGCATCCCTGTTGTTCGTATTTGTTGAAATAATCTACTGTAGGCAAGTTTGATGAGTGAGGAATTATACTGCAAGATACGCGTTTATTATGTTCTATTTATCAATTATTTATCTGCTATTATCTACTACCCCCCTCCTTGAGTGGGCAGGTACATATGCTTGATCCGGAAGTTGTCGTACCCATTATACAACTTCTTCCTGTATAAGTGATTGTACGCGCGTTAAGGAATACCTCGACCGAGGCGGTACTACCCGCTAGCTTTTTCCAGGGTATCTTACAAACGTCCGTATGTTTCCAACACGTAAGCTATGCAGTCTTCTCTCTTCTTTTTCCCCTACCCTTCGCAAAAAATGGATCCCTCAAGTACTAAGAATTCTGGTCGTAAGATCACTCCACTCTCAGAATGTCCGGGTGGAGGGTGGACTCGAGGGAACAACATCAATGATAAAATCTCTTTCACGAACATCTGCGGGATTTACAACAACACTGATGGTTTTCGCCACTTTCGGTAGACTAATCGTCCGCCATGCTTTTCTTGGCGGAGACAAAATTTTCCGATTATGCCCCGACTAACTGTTTTAGCTTTCCAAATTACGAGTGCACTCCAATCTGTCGAAGAACGGGGGAGTTGTGGGTTCTGTCCGCAGCAGTATTCCCCGCTCCAGAGCCGTTTATTTGGAATCAGGCCGGGAGAACATTCTATGATTACGCGTCAACCCCCAACCATCCTCAAAATTTATTTGCTGCCTTTACCGCTCTCCCCCGGACCGTAACTGGGACGACCTACTTGTACACCTCGCTGCCAAAATATACTTCCTGAACATCAATCACCCTGCTTCAGAGGTAGTTCTCATCGGTGATTTCAATGCCCATAATGAGCTCTGGTGGGCTCAAACAAGACCTATGCAAGCAGATCGTGCTGTTAAAGCGTTCACCCTTACTCAAGGGCTGACCCAGCTGATGACGAGCCCTACTTTTTCTCTCGCGTCTCGTCACATGCCTGTAGCCTGCTGGACCACTTTCTAACCACGCATCCTGTCCCTTACAGCACTGCTGTCCTGTCTCCCCTGGGTAACTCAGACCATGGTGTTGTGGGGGCCAGGTTTCGGTCAAAGCCGGCTGTGGCAGCCGAAAGTCGCCCAGGCTGCAAAATTGGCATGACAGACATACCGACTGGAAAGGCTCAGAGACAATTTCTCCATCTTTCCCTGGAGAGATGTTCGTTTCGCTGACTCGAATGCGTCGGCTGTCTGTTCGGCCGATATCCCAAATTATACACGTTGATGGGGGAATAAATCCCTGATACAGTGAAAGTACCTAAACCAGGGTCCAACGGCTGGTTCAAAAAATCGTGCGACACTGCTCGGCAGCAAAAGATCAAGACACACAGAACCTTCTTACGAAACCCCACTGCGGAGAGCAGGCCAGTCGACGTCAAGTACAGAAACAAATATAACAAAGCGATCTGTAAGGCCAAATACCAGCACGATATCAAAATTATTCACAGGGTAATGTCGCAGCGCAATGGCAGTCGGTCTTTCTCTACGCTCGCAAAGCAGATTGAAAGGAACTCCTCACAGAGTAGCTGTCAACCACTTACGTGCCAGGATGGAACGATTGTAACCGACTCGAAGGCTAAGGCCGAAGTGCTTGCCAAGATCTTTGATGTCAACTCCATCATGGACACCCCCAAAGCTCGAGTGCCGTCGATTTAAAGGCTTCCCTACATTATGCGGTAAGTAACCTTTAGGCATAAGACCGTGAGACAGTTGCTCTTGTCGTTGGACCTCAACAAAGCAGAAAACTGGAAATATGTCCCAAAAAAAGACCGACCCTTACAACTACCTCGGTCTATAGCTGTTATAACGACCTCATTTCCTGTCGATCAATCCGATCCACAGCTTCGCCGACGACAGCACTCTGCATGCAGGAATTCAGAATGACAAGCCAATCTTTGCTGGCGAGCTGGAGAAAAGGAAATTAGCAGCGACTTCCTCTCAGACGAGAGACCTGGAGGTTATCACTGCTTGGGACATAACATAACCTCCTCACTGTACAAGACCCACCCCCAGGTAATGCTCACATGTTTGGAGTGATGTAGCTCTCTTCTACCATGTGCCTGCCAGCAAAGCCGCCTGTCGTGTTGATACGACCCGCTCATTTGTCCTAGGACATAGAGATTGTAGAATAGTCTACCTGAGGAGACTTTTCCTAGTTCTAACTCGAAATTTTGACGACCGAGGAAACGTTCATAAATTTGCAGTATGATAAACCATAAAGAAGCACCTTAAAACTAAGAACCCTGATCTGCCCCGTTCTTTGACTATCGTATACGTTAAGTAACCAGTTGAGTGCCAAGTCAACGCAAAGTGGTACGTCTACTGTTGTATCTACAGCGGCTACGTTTCCGTAGATCGCCCTCAGTACTAGCACCATGTCTGCTACGTCTAGAATTTTGTCGTTTTGGGCTCGTAAACCTGAAATTAATGAAAAACTTTCATTAGAATCTATGGAATCATCAGTATCTAAAGAACTAGTCAATCTGGAATTTATGGAATCTAGGAAACCTAGAAAATGTAGACCATTTAAAGAATCTAGATAATCTAGAGCAGCGGTTCCCAAACTGGTACGTTTTCAAGTGCTCCGCGGATTTCATCTGAGAAATATCGTATTCAAGTAATACCTATAATGTTTATTTTCCTTGATGTTACATCAAGCCCCTTACTAATGCAAAGATTCGCCGCGCCGCACTTCAATGTACTGTGCGCCGGAACAGTTCGGAAACAATCGTATTTTTTCGTATTAATGCTAGGATATGACTTGTTCTTTCCGGAACATACGATTTACGTTCGCTAAATGTGTGTCGGGTGCATCGTAAAGAGTAACACAGTTTTTATTTTTTGCGATTGTGCCTTTGAATTTCACTAATTGAATTGAAGTTGGGATAAGTTATCATTCGTAAGTAGGTTAACTAACATACATGTATCTTTTTTTATGGTGAAATATCTATTTCCAGGTTAAATTTACTTGTTTTATAATGGATCTTTGGCTTAAAACAGGTGTTTTGAAGAAAACAGCGATTTCAGCTACAGATGCAGAAATGCAGGGATCTAACTCCAAAGGTACGGATTTGTACATTTTAAGGTAGGGGAAATACGGGTAAAATGGGATACTTACGTTTGGCGTGAAATAAAAATTACTGTATAAGTGGCAACGCATATTTCGTTTTAGGCATATTTCCCCTACTACAAAAGCAGTTTTTTGTGCTTGTGTGTGAGTTTTTTGGGAACGGGTAGGTGCCAGATTTTTAAAATCTTATTTTTAAAAGTATTTGTCTGAATCGAGTATTGTTTTTAGCAATATGGAAAAGAAAATAGGGAAATAGCTCACACTGAAGACACAGAATTGCAGATATTGAGAAAATCCGAGTCTGTTGCGAGTGTACTAACATCAGCTGAAGTAATTGATTGTCAAACATCTGGTCCATCAAAGATGAGTATTTGTGAGAGAAAAACTGCAAAACGAAAATACCATGATTTTATCTGGATATAGGATCATTGAAACCAACGACAATAAACCACAATGTGTAATATGCGGTAACGTGTTACCAACAGTGCTATGTTTCCAGCGAAAATGCGACGACATTTGAAGAGTTCATCCTGAATGTAAAGACAAACCGAATGATTTTTTCAAAGAAAATCCAGTGAATTAAAAAATACACAAAAAAGCATACTTTTCATGCACAGACACTGAACGAAAGGTCGTTAAAAGCATCCTACTGAGTTAGTTACCGATCGCTAAAGCAGGCAGCCTCATGTTATGCTGAAACTTTAATCAAAGCCTTGCGTCAAAGATATAGTTGAAACTATGATGGATGAAAAGGATGTGAAACTAGTTACTACACGTACACTATCAAATAACCACTATTTCTAGGCGCATTGTAGAGAAATGGCTGATGACGTAAAAAACACTTTAATTTCTCGAATAAAAGGTAGTTCCTTTTCGCTACAGCTTGATGAATCGACAGATGTGGCTGGATGGCTGATTGATAGTTTTGTTCGCTTCCAATTTGGCAAACTCTTTTCAAGAAGATTTGCTTTTTTGCAAGCCACTACCAACTAGTACTACTGGGCTGAGATTTTCAAATTGCTTGACGATTTTTGTTGCACATGATATACCTTGGAAGAATTGCATTGATGTATGCACCGAGGCGCAAAGGCTATGACTGGAAAAACAAGTGGTGTTGTAGCTAGAATTAAAGAAAAAAATAGTAACTGCAATAATAGTCACTGTGTTCTTCATCGTCATGCATTAGCCGTCAAAAAAATGTCACCTTCCTAAAAGAAGTTTTGGATGAATGTGTAAGAATAATTAATTATATCAAATCTCGCCCCCTAAATTCCAGGTTGTTTAAAATATTGTGTGATGATATGGGTAGTCTACATACGACTTTACTGCTTCATACGGAGGTAAGATGGCTCTCACGGGGCAAAACTTTAACTCGGCTATTTGAATTAAGAGCCGAAGTAAGGAGTTTTTTGATGGAAAGTGACTTCGCATTAAAAGGGAGATTTAACGAAGAGCAATGGATATCAAAGTTGGCATATCTGGCTGATATTTTTTCTAAAGCTAATGATTTAAGCACGTCACTTCAAGGAAAGTCAATTTCTGTTTTTGATGTTAACGACAGAATAAAAGCGTTTAAAAGAAAATTGGTCTTTTGGGCAGAGTCCCTGAATAAACAAAATTTGGACAGCTTTCCGTCGTTAAAAGAACTTAAAGAAGAATTTGATTTTGATCTACCAAATGATCTTATGAACGAGTTCTATATTCATCTTATAACTTTACGCAATAATTACCAGGAATATTTTCCAGAAGAATTTCATGACAAAATGAATTACAATTCTTGGGTTGCAAACCCATATAACGCAATACCTGAAAAGCCAGCGAGTTTAACATCTGAAGAATATGAATGTTTGATCGACTTGACATCTGATTCTGGAATACGAGATATATTTCTAACAAAGTCATCAATAATAGAATTTTGGTGTAAACTTAGACATGAATTTCATCTTCTGTCAGATAAAGCAAAAACTATTCTGCTCCCTTTTGCTACTACTTATTTATGTGAAGCTGGATTTTCTGCTTATCTTATGACCAAAACTAAATACCGGTCGTCTTAATACAGAACCTGATATTCGTTTACAGTTGTCTGAAATTGAACCTAACATCACAGCATTAAGCAAATTAAAACAAGCACATCCTTCTCATTAGAAAAGTTGGTGGTTTTATTAAGTAGTTGTAGTTTTGTTTTTGGATGTATGTTTTATGTTTCATTTTTGTATCGAAATAAGTTTTTGTTTTATGTTATTTTCACACATTACTTTAAAATTTGCTTTTGGCTTATATTAGGTATATTTAAAATATTACATTTTTTTCTGTGCTAAAGTTAGTTGTTCTTTTTGTTTAATAAATATTTGTTTCTTCAATGTACGTTTCTAAAATTGCAAAGACCTATATCCAGTTGCAGGCAGTTGAAACCATCAAACAGCCTACTCTAGTGCTCCGCGTTAAATTTTCCTGTCCAAAAGTGCTCCGCGACTTAAAAAGTTTGGGAACCGCTGATCTAGAGAATTCATAAATTATATACAGTCTATGAACTCTAGAGTATTCAAAGAAACTAGAGCTCTGGGAATCATATAAAAAATAATATGGCGAGTCTAGATGATCAAGGGTATCTGGAGTATCTCAAGAATCTAGAGAATCAAGGATATCTAGAAAATCTCAAAATTCTAGATAATCTAAGAAATTTAAAGAATATAGAGATTCTAGAGAATATAGGGAATCAAGAGAGTCTAAATAATCAAGAGAATCTATGAAATTGAAAGTATGTAGAGAATTTATAGAATCTGAATGTAAAGAGTTTAGTGAACCAAGAGGATCCGGAGAATGATGAGAATGTAGAAAACCTTGAGAATCTGGAGAACCTAGACAATCTATAGAACACAGGGAATTTAAAGATATTGGAGAATCTAGAGAACCCAGAAAATCTGGAGAATAAAGAGAATTCAGAAAATCTGGAGAATCTGGGAACCTAAAAACTCCATATGATCTACAGAATCTAAACAATTCAAGGATCATTGAGAGGCTAGAGAATCAAGGGTATCTAGATAATATCAAGATTCTAGAGAACCTGGGCAATCTAAAGATATGGAGTCTACAGAGTCTAAAGTATCTAGGAGACCTAGAAAAATATAGTCTAGGGAATCTAGAAGAATTAAAGAATATAGAGTCAAGGAAATTTAGGGAATCTGGAAAATGAATAGGATCTAGAAAATCTAGACAATTTAAAGAACATAGAGAGTCTAGAGACTCTAATGAAGCAAGAGAATCTAAATCTATGTAAACAATTTAGAGAATTTAGAGGGTCTATACAATCTAGATGAAAATTTTATAGATTCCCAGACACGGTAAGCCGTCATACCTACAATGTAGTAGTAGCGGTGAAGCGAAGCCTGGCAACTACGTCACTTTTGACCCCTTTTGCCGGCCCCGTACTACCAATACTGTACTTCTGTACGAGTCATCTACTGGTAACTGATATAATAAACTAGCTCCAGCGATGAGACGTACCTATCGTTAATATTGCACCCATGTGCATGGTAAATACCCACCATGTAAGTCAAACGCCTCCGATGCCATATTAATAGTGACCATATCTAAACTCAGTTTCTTCTGTATGGCTCTAAGCTTCAACGCTGTCCGATACGCCGAAAACCGGACTTCGTTCAGTTGCAACAGGCTGGCTGCCAATTCGAGCATTTGGGGATGGTCCCAATGTGTCGTTTCCAATCTGTGGTTTATGTAGTAGGGGACTTTGTTAGGGGTGACAGCTCGCTCCCAGGGAGCCTTTACGCTGGATGGGCCTGGAGAGATTTCACCTGGAAAAAATGGCGTCAAGTAGATCGACTCTGCACTTCCCACGCAATTCTTGATAAATGGAGTTTGGATGTATAGTATCAAGTCAACTTTTGCACACTCTAGTATCTTTAGTGTACAGTAGAATGATTATCAGTGCATTGTTTGTTTAAAAAATTGACACTATGAACTTTGAATATGCAGCCTCAGAGTACCTGCGAAGGGCGAGACGCCACAATGGCTTCAAGAAAACGTGCTTTTTAGCTCTATCACATGGACATCTCATTTATGTCCATTTTCCCTTGGAATTTTACAAGTGCACGTGTGCATCGTTGGGGAGAACCAAGTTTCAAGTAGTTAGGATGTAGACACGAAACAATACGAGGTCTGTAAATTAAGTGATGAGACTGGCAACGTAGCGTTCGATCTGGCAACTCTGGAGGGCGCCGGGCTTGGAGAGGGACACATGTGATCCCAGTTTTCAGTAAGTTTGAGCTCGCAGAAAAATGACTTGGTTGACCGTAGCGATTTTTTGTAAACGTTTTTTCTATTGTGTATTCAAGCACCAGTGTGCTATTAGGTTTTGCTTCAGACTTGGCCACAGTGCACCCTTGCTAAACAGTGTTTTGTCAAGAGCCCAGGTCTTTTGATGGTTTAAGGCATTTTCAGAAGGGAGAGCGTCGATTAAAAATGAACCACGAAGCGGAAGGCCTTCATCTTCAAGAATCGATGAAAATGTCGACAGAATCCGGGATCTTGTGCGTTCAGATCGTCGGTTGACAGAATGCAGAATGATCGATGAATAGTTAAGTTTGACTCACCCCAGCGTTCATCAGATCAAGAACAACTGGGTGTTCCTTGTCACACAATGTCAATAAACGAGTCTTTGGCCCGTAAAAATATTCGTGTCTAGACTGTCACCACGTACAACAAATATACAGTGTTAAAAAAGAATTTATTGTTTTCCCAAAATGTAGTGATAGTTTTTTAATAACTTGAGTATGTTTTCCAACTTTTGATTTGTTCGGATTTATTGGTTGTAACACCGAGCTATGTGTTCCGTCGATAACAATAAACCCAATGTGTCCGGTCTTTTGGTTTTATAATTGTAACAAGTGTTCTCATCCACGCGTTTTAAAACACCATTTAGCTGCAACCTCGCCGACGACTCCTGAAGAGGACAACATAGTTTGTCGAAAGCTCGAGATTACCGTCAAAAGAGTGCAATAAGCTTTTTTGCCAATTCCCAATAAACAATTTGATTTTATTTCTTGCCCAACTGGTCGTTGGAAATGGCAATGACTACTGCTCGTATACGATGATCTCTGTGGAATACCAGATCTGGATAAACACATCTGCTCATTGACTAGCGGCCATACAATTTCATTGTCAATCAAAAACTTTTAAAGAAACAGAAAAACCCACCCTGTGTACTCGTCGTAAGCACCTCCCTCCTCTCTCTAATCGCAGCTTGCAACGCTCTGGTCCTCGCCGCACAATCTTCCAGCTGTGCAGCTGATTGTTGCGGCAACGCCGCACCAAGCGCAGCTGCATGCGCTCTAGCTTCCTCCAGTCGCCTTTGAAGCTGCGGCAGCTGTTGTTCTAATGCGCGCAGGCCTGCGAGAAGTTCCCTGGCTTCAGCTGCGCTCCGGGGCCGCTCCACGTTAGGGTAGCACGTTCTAGGCGAGAGACAGCTGCGCAGGCTTCTTCCAGAGTTGTTGTTAGTTGGTTTAGTTTCTGTTGAAAAAGCGTGCCAATACCATGAGAAAATATAAAATTAATCAGGGTGTTTCGGGTTTGAATGGACATAGTGAAATGGTACTACAGACCGAGGCTTATTCATACATGAATGAAAAAATGCCAAAACTCTTTTTTAAGGATTTATCTAAACTCGCTAAATCTTTAACGTCACATATCTCAGGCACTATTGAACCGATTTTGATGAAAATAACAAAGTTACATAGAAGTAACGCAAGTCTGGTCAGACGGTTAAAAAATCCAGAGGCGGAATTTTTGTAACTTTTTGCTATTTCATAAAAATCAACACATCTTAAGCTGAGTATTGCAACGTCTAACTATGCTCAAAAAAGACAATGAATGGTGCTTATCAATTAGCAAAATATATTGATTGCGTCTCTTTTGTTTTTTTTTAATAAAAAATGTAATTATTCAAATATTGTGATACAAAATTTCATACGTTAACAACTTGATTTCATCAACATTTTACAAAATAGTGCTTAGATCCGATCTAGCGATGCTTTGAGAACTAAAAACTCTAGGTTCATACTAAGTTTTTTCATTTCCTTGTATTTTATTAAGTGCAACGCCCTGAATTTATGATTTTACAGAAAAAAAGAACAGTAAGGTTAAATGTACGGCCAAACGATAAAAGTTAGACAGACCTCTGCTCGATAAGAGAGTTGATCTTTGCTCAACTGGTGCGGTACCCAAACACTTGTAAGTAATAGAATGATTTTCTATCGTGCCATTAGAAGACCAGAGCTCTACAGCCAAATCACGCACTGCTTCGAGGAACTTTTTCAAATAATGTCTTAAGCTTATTTATTATATATTCAGACTACGTAGAAGGAGTCAGTCAAGGATTTATTTACCCTCTAATTCTCATAGTCTGTAGTGAGGATGAAAGTGCACTTGACATATCGTCGGCTTAATATGTAAAGCACACAGGTCCCATACCACTGATTTTAGAGGAGATGAGGAAAACTGTCCCATTTCTGGGGAGTGTTTATATTTTATTCACATACTTGAGGCATAATTCTGTTGTGAAATGCGATTTTATTAAATTTAACGGGAGTCGTGTGACTATCTTCAGTTGTTCAATAAATATGTGGAGTTATAGGGTTTTTCAATCAAACTAGTACGCATGTGTGAGGCAATTCATTATAAAATCCATGGTTGTGTTAAACTATTGTCACTTTCAAGGTCATGAGATGCTCATACTTTGACATTTCTATCGGAGTCTTACGGGTAATGGTGACCAGTCATCAGTGTGTCCCACCTTATAATATATTGTTCCGTCAGGTTCATACTTTAATTGTCTTATTGAATCAACTTTTCTGGGGGTACCAGGTCTTATTGAAGGATAGTAATATTCAAACTGTTATAATCTTTAAAAAACTAATAATTAAGGTACTCAGGCTTATATGGAGCAGGATGTCTCCAAGCAGCTCTGCAGATTAAATATAATCGGCAGCGATATTAATAGTAGAATCCTTCAGTTGCCTTTCTATTGCAGAGTGCATAGAACAACACTCCATTTGAGTATGTCCTCTCTCTAGGTACTTTTGGAGAGTAGTTACTTTTTTCAGGATTGTTAAATTTTTTCTGTTTCACCCGGTGCATCCGTCACTATATATCAAATACTACCACCAAGAATAACAGACATACATGGACTGCGTCCAGGCATACCAGTGTGATGTTTCTATAAGTCAGAGCGAGGAAGAATATTATGTGGAATTCTTGACGCCGAATACGTCGCTTACGCATTTTTTGCGAGTTATGTGGAATTCTTGGGACAGGCGCGTCACATAGTATTAACTAACAATGCCAATCTCATTTTTTTCAAAAAGTGGACTTATGTGATATGCGTATTAAGCAGATGATAAGCCAATTTTCGACAGTTCTGTCATTAAATTCGGATATACAGGGTTATCCAAATTAAGTGTCCACCATTAGTAACTTTGTTATTAGTGAAAATACAAAGTTGTTTGAATTAGCAAACTAGTAGCATTTTTAACGCTGGTAAAAATGAGAAATAAAAAAAAACAATTGAGAGTCGTTATTTTGATTTTTTTCAGTAAAATAACATTTTTTTAAATGGAAACCCCTGTATATTATATTTTTTTCTGTTAAAGCATCAAATTTTAAACAAAAAAGCTTACAATAACTTTTCTCCTAGGTTACAAATTGTTGAAGTTATGGCCTCCAATCTGAAACAATTAAATTGTATCGACAAACTTTATTTTCAACATCAACTTATAATCTTACAAAATACAATAACAATTTTTTTTAAAGAAGATGCTCGAAAACACCACCTTGTTCTTCAATACATTTTTGGGCACGTTTTTCAACTGCTCGAACTGTCTTAAGTATGGTCCTACCATCTATCTTTTCCCTAACTGCAGTCTTTAACGCGTCAAGGTTATCGTACCTTCGCTTGTAAATTTGGTTCTTTAAGTAACCCCACAAGAAGTAATCAAGTGGGTTTAGATCTGGTGATCTGGGAGGCCACTGTATTGGGCCATTTGTTCCTATCCACTGATCATTAAAAGTAGTACTTAGAAAATGATAAGTACCTCTGGAGTTGTGGGCAGGTGCGCCATCTTGCTGAAAATGCAGATGATGTCTACTTATAAGATCCAATTCGTCTAAGAAATTAGTCAGAATTTCTGACATAAATTCCACATATCTTTCACCAGTTAGGGTTCCCTCATAAAAGAACGGGCCAACAATTTTTGAACCAATTATACCGCACCAAACGTTGAAACTGAAACGGACTTGTGGGCCTCTTGGATGTACTAACAAAAGATTTTCTCTTGACCAATAATGGTGGTTTTTTCTATTAAACATTCCAGAATTTGAAAAATTTGATTCATCTGTCCATAAAAGGTAACGAAAGTTATTTACATTTTGGCGACAGAAGCTAAGATACCAATGGCAAAAAACAAGTCTTCTCTCTGGATCCCCTGCCAAAAGCGTTTGAACTGGTCGGTACTTATACGGAATAAATTTGTATTTTTTTAAAATCCTTTGAACAGTACCATAACTGAAATTAGAGTCCTTGAGAATATCTGCTATTGAATTCTCACGATAAGCTTCAAAATATCCAATAACTGCAATTTCCGTGGCCTCGCTTATTATGAATTCTTTTTTTGCCCTTGTTTTAGCAAAAACATTTTCGTTGCCCCTAAATTTTCGATAAAGTCTCAGAAAATATCGTTCATACGGTTGAATGCGAGCGGGATATAATTCACTGTAGTATTCTCTTGCTCTCAAGGAGGATTTTCTGCACACTAAATAGCATTCTAACATATCACACTTTTCTTCATGGGAGAACATTTTTCTTTAAATTAATGACACAATAAAGCTTATAAACAAGTATTTACACTAATGTTTGACATTATTTGATTTTATCATTGTTTTCCAAAGCCTTCTAGTTGCGAGTATGTCCAGTTTAACAATTTGTCGCTTATCTTAATGCTGTCAAATCGCGAACGCCATGTTGTTTTCATAGCCGTCTTAATATTATAATACTGCAAATAATTAAAAATATTTATCGTTATTTTGACTTTATTTTTGACTTTAGCGGAAAAGTCATTATGAACTTTTTTGTTTAAAATTTGATGCTTTAACAGAAAAAATATAATTACAGGGGTTTCCATTTAAAAAATGTTATTTTACTGAAAAAAATCAAAATAACGACTCTCAATTGTTTTTTTTATTTCTCATTTTTACCAGCGTTAAAAATGCTACTAGTTTGCTAATTAAACAACTTTGTATTTTACTAATAACAAAGTTACCAATGGTGGACACTTAATTTGGATAACCCTGTATAGAGTTATTTGTTGAAAGTGCGTGTGTTTGCAGATAATTGTGGTTTAGAGGATTTCAAGGCATGTGGTACTTCTTGCATAATTTGCAAAGAGCGGCCCAAGCCTAATTAAGGTAAATTTTTCCACCAGTTATTATGTTGACACAACTCTGTTACTTTGGTACTGGTACACAAATGAGTCAAAAATATGCACTAAAACTATGCAATTTTGGCGACAAACAGTCTAATCTATTCGAATTCGTTGATACAAGGGGAAAATATGTGGCCAGGAGGGTGACAGTTAAACTACGCGAAAAATACTTGAAACGTTTTATAATACCGGCTAAATAAGAGCAATAGTTCTTTATTAAAAATAACATTGTCTTCAGTTTCATTAGACTTAAAACAAGAGAATCGTATAGATTGAGAGCTGACAGTCCCTCTGGGTAACGATTGTGTTCGGAAGCGAGATTTTTTTTGATAGCGAGTCGCAGGCGTTGCTTTCATTTATTTTTTGATTGTAAATAAATGACAAATAGTAGAAAGTACAAAAACCAGAAGAATAGAAAACACAAATTACAAGAAAACTACCAGATAAGTGACAAAAACGAAAATGACCTCAAAAAAATTAATTTCCATTGGTTACATATTATTGTATGTGATTTATGACTTTTGTGTTCAAGAATCGTTTTTTACATCGTTGCAGTAATACACCTATGAAAATTATGAAGATATACTTACCAGGGTAAATACAGGAACCACTGGCTAAAGGGTATCCGCCGACACTATGTGAACAACTGACGAGTTCCTGGTTTCAGTAAACCAAATGGCACTAATTTCAAACTATCATTTAAATTTTACACATTAACATGCATAAATATGCAATTTTAGTTGCGCCAGGTGAGGGTGCCACAATTTTCAGAAACCACTAAAAACGTGTATTTTTATGCATTTATACAAGTACTTAGTATTTCGTTTCATAAAAATGTTATAATGTGTGTCTGCCATACAAAGAGTATTCGTATATTGTTATGTTATTGTGTGATATTTGTAGTGGAAGTCGGAAATGAGCACGCCAGGGGATTATACATTTTGTTAATTTTTGACAGATTTTATCTGAATCTTAAAAGTATCATATGTTTCAAATAGAGCATGATATTTTATACCAAATCGTAGATTTGCTTAAGATTTTTTCGGTGGAAAATAGAAATTCGAAATACCGTATTCTCCCACATATTTTCTTAGATGGTAAATCTTGCTCATGAAATTGGTTCATTTTTTGTTTAACTGTAATTCCATTGGATAAATCAGTTTTGGTAATTAGGTGCGCAAACCTTTTTTTAATTACCTAAGTGTGCATCCACTATTCTTTAAAGTCCATTTTCAAGTTCGAAAGGCACAGTGGGATGGAAGAAGTTATTATGTTTGACAATCTATCTCTACTTACTAAAGTATTCTGCTCAAATCTAGTCGCCAGCTCATCACTTTTATCCACCAACGCATTCCATTTGTCAGACAACTTCACTAGCTCTCTTCGTAAGTTCCTAGCTAATTCCCCTGAAGGGTCTCCAGATACAAACTGTCTAGCACTTCTCAAACTAAAAATAAAAATTAAAATAATGTTCAAAATATTTAGTTGATATGATATATGAGGCTGATTTTACTATTACTAGGTTCTATTATTCCAAAGATGAAAAAGCTAAGTAGGTTTCGAAAATCGGTCTAGTCGTAGCGGAGCTTGGGGCAAAAACACGAAAATAATAAAATAGCGTAAACTTCGTTTTATGACATTTCAGAGGCTCTGATCATTTTCGGTAAATTTTTTGTACGGGTTGAAACTTAGGGGTTGTAGGTTGTAAAAGTACCGTCTTTAGTATTAGTCAAAGATGTTCTATCATTAAGAAGCTTCTGATCCCGTTAACTACGGGTAAATTAAATGGTAAAAGTCCGACGGATAATGCGCTCATAATTCGAAATAAGTTGGCAATCGTTGGCGTTGCGTGCGCAGTGCGATGCTGCCTACTGTGCACTGGGTAACAAACTCCAACTGGTCTACGGTGGTGCCACTGACACAACGCGACATTCATATATTTTAGCAATATTTGGATATTAGGAGTATGTACACTTTAGCCTACTGGGATGGTTTTGTAAATGATGACAACTGTTTTTATATCTACACATATATTTCGTCTAACCTTTAATCTGTGTTACTCCGTCCAGTAATTCTCTGAATATTTCCTCAGTACTTATGACGCATTGATATACAACAGACATGGACTAACAAACCGACATAAATGAGAGGCACGGACTTGTGTGATACAGATATCTATAAGCAACAGAAAACTTGTGAACCGAAGTTCGAATATTATCGTGAGTTTAATACTCCATCGTTTAGGTAGTTGTAGATTTTGAAAGTTGATTTTCCGTGGTGGCGGAAGAACGGATAAAAAGATAAACATCGCAGGACACAGTATTTCAATGTTTCAGAGATTCCTGCTCATATTCAGATATTGTTTGGAGGGGATAGAAATTGTAGGTTGGAAGCTGTATGCGGTAAATGTTTGTAAAATGTTGCGTATTTGGTGTCCGTGAAAGACCATATATTATTAAGAAGAACTAATGATTTCAGTGTAAC